GCGCTAGAGTGTCCCTCGAAGTTCCTAGGTCAATCAGACGGATTCTCACGGGTCCAGCAACTACGAGGGTCTTTCCCTATCCAGAGAGACCACTGCTGCTCCGAGTTCCTATGTCCAAAAAGTAACAAACGAACCCGGCGCCGAGTCCCAGGAAAGTCGTTTTGTACAGACATAGGAAGAGTTTGTGACAGAAATGGCACGGGAAGAGAATTGGCAGGAACTAGATGAGAACGATAGAATGACAAAAAGGGCCATGGCGAAGGGTTCATATCATGTCTACTGTGAGACAGTTGCAAGAACCAGAAAAGCGTCTCCGACCGAGCGTGCCCCCGTGACGGGAGCCCCGTAAATCCCTGTGCATTGAAAAAAGAGCCTACGCGCTGTGCTGGAGATCTAATAAGTCGATTACTTTTTTTGAGCAAACTTTTGCTTTCAGTTTTGATTCTGTCGCTTTTTTGCACAATAGATAGTTTAGCTAGATTGACCTAATACGTATATGTTACAAGTGATTAGAAGATCTACTCTGATTGATGAATCCGATGTCAAGTGATACGTAAGTTTTCTGGGAGGAAATCTGCGCCGCAAAGCGCGCTTTACCAAAATCAAGGAATGGGCATGATAAACGTAGGAATATCGAGATGGTAGCGAGGGTGGATTTACGCCGCAAGGAGTATTTCGAGCAAACATCAGAGCACAGCCCCTGGCGACCACGCTAGGTAACTGCTCTCGTCAAGCAGTTAGGACGATGGATTTCTACCTTCTCGTGGTGTCCGGTGTCAGTACCCTCTCATTTCGTGGAGGGGAAGCCAAAAGAATCCGCGTGGGGTGAATAGGGGTCGGGCCGCAGAGTCTTCTGTGGTTGACGACACCCCATCCACCCCACACAAACTAGAGGAAAACGGGTTATGAAAACCATCCGACGACTGCCTACTCGACTCGTACTCGAGACCGAAGCTGGACTTGTACGCCAGTGGTTGTGGTATCGCCTAGACAGGAGACAGGACACCTCTGAGCTTGAACACCCTCTGAGATCGCGAGACGCCCTACGAACTTGAACGAGGAAAACAAAGAAGACAGCACATGAAAGACGAGACGAACAAATGGAAACACACAATATGGCGTTGAGCGGCGAGGGGGAATACAACTGGCGGCGCAGCAGACTGAATAGATCGTTCGGGCGCTCCATGGAATGGCCTGGGTCGGAACCTCGTTAAAGCGAAGCTACGGGCAACTCTGATCTGGACATCCTGTGGCCTCTCCCAAGCGGGATGCAGTCTAGCGACGACCCTCGACGAACTCGTTAAGGTACAGCCACGGGTGTTCGAGAGGGCTGCAAAGCCAGGGACACAGGCTTGGTTAGTGAAGGAGAGCGAGGGTATCCTGCAAGGCTAATGGGGATACTACTAGCAGCCTTTGCGAGACACGGTCGGCCGGTTGAGAGAGATCTCGGCCGGTAACGCGAAGGAGGGAGGTTTCTCCCTCTGGGGCGTGGCACATAATGGCAGTGACGGACGGGTCGACAGGACCCGACGAGACTGTCTATGTGGCCCGAGAGGACGGACGCGCGTGTCGGTGTGCAAATAGACAGAAACAGCTACCTCACTCGCACTGAGGACCTGAAATTAAGCAGCCAAAGTGGTGTCGTCCTAGTGGGGCAGGTCCGACCTGACTTACTATCTCACTCGCACTGAGAACCTGCGGCTGGGCGATGGATGTGATGTCGCTCTAGCTGAAATGCTGATGATGCATGTTTAAGGAGCAAACCTGGAGACACCTGGGGTGAGAGGTTTTTGCTGGGGCCTCAATATCTGGAAGACGTCCATCGAAAGATGCGCGTGCCGAAAACCAGGGCAGTGGCCTGAACAAGCGGGCCTGGTGAAGCTGCTTTACATCAGTTCCAAGAACTCGTTAAGGCTTTGCCACGGGCAATCTTGGCTGTGTAGTCATGTCTCTTGGCTCCGACTGCCAGGCCGCCATCCAGGCGGTGCAAAACCCAAAGCGATCGTCGGGCCAGTTCGTGCTGAGTGCTATCTACAACCACGTCCGGGCCCTCCGATCGCAAACGCCCACGTTCGATCAGATTCCCATCGAGATCCGCTGGATCCCCGCACACGTGGGCGTTCCTGGCAATGAGACTGCCGACGTTGAAGCAAAGTTGGCGGCAACGGAGGGGAGAGTGGAGAACGGAGCGGAACAACCCTACCCCGAGGGGTCCGCGGGTCGAGTCCTTCTAGCAGCGACCGCGAAGCGTCGAGTGCGGCGGCGCATTAAAGAGAGATGGGCACAAGAGTGGGCAAAAGAGCGAACTGGCAAACCGAACCAGCGGTTAGTCAAAGTTCCAGACAAGAAGGTGCTCCGGCTATTCGATTCCCTGTCGAAGCCTTACACCTCAGTGTTGATTCAGATGCGGTCGATGCGGATCGCACTGAATCACTTTCTGTTCAAAATCAAGGCGGTCGAATCAGATGAGTGTTACTGTGGAGAAGGGTCTCAAACCCCGAGACATATCTTGATGCAGTGCCCGTTGTACGCTGATTTGAGGCAGACCTTCCTTGACAAGATCCGGATGACCGATCTTGGGGATTCGACGGATTATGATGCAATCGTATCACACTCGCAGGCCACCCGCTACGTGGCCGAATTCATGCTTCAAACAGGCCTCCTGGGACAGTTCCGACACGTCGAAATCGAACCAACAGGCGATGACAACAACGCGCCAGGATGATCTGGCAGGCACAGGGGGTGAAGACGCTGGGTAGGAGGAACGCCAAACCCACGGCTTACCGAGAGGTCGTGGACGAATACAACCAACACGTCGAATCGACAATGAACGCCACCAATTGAGAACGGAGCAGGAGAGATACCGGGGATGGAGGTGCAGAGGAAGCGGCAGGCCAATGTGAGGGCGAATTGAGAGATATATCGTGGGACTGAGGGCTTGGAGGGCGTTTTGATACTGTTTTGGACTGACTTTTGGGCTATTTTACTTGGCAATACGCCGTTTTCCTTTGTATTTACTGTTTCATGCGCGGGTCTGGCGTTCGGATCACTCTTGCTTCCGCCGGAGGGAGCGCCTGCATAGCCATTACGCCACTAGTTAGGCTGCAACAGGTTCATAGAGTGTTGATTGATTGATTGATTGATTGAACATCAGAGCACAAAGTCGTGAAGTTGTGAGTGATGAAATGGTGAAGTGGTGAAGTGGTGAAGTGGTGAAATGGTGAAAGTACGCAACTCCCTGATAGTAAATCGATATTCCAAGGTGTTAGTGCTAGGGGATTTTCAAATTGCTGCTTTATGTCCCTGATAACAAGGGCAGAACCTCTCATAGTCAAGCTCGTGGCTCGAACGTGTAATAGTATCTCTTCATGTTCGATATATACATTCAAATATCGTAGTAACGTTAAGTCACAGTCTTGGAGGATCTTACATAGCTTAGTAGTACCGAACTACAGACAATTTCAAAATCGGTTTCCCCTCCACACACGCGCTTTCTTTCTAGACGCCCCGGAACCCGCTAACGGTTTGGACCTAAATCGTTTAAGTTCACAAGGTCCTGTCTAGCCAATCACGCAGCTAGACTCTGCTCAAAGTGGCCTAGCTTCTACTATATCCGGCTTGGAACTATCGAGGTGGGAAAGAAAAAACCGCGTACTTGGTCATGGTATGACCCGTACTATTCCCTCTGGAAGTAGCTGACGGGTTTTAGGATACAAAAGTTCCTAGGAACCTTTATTGATTTTCGAAAGAGGATTGGCTGCTCGAGATGAGGCGTTTATCTCCGAAATAGATTGTTTTTGGTGGGCTTTCAATAGACGAGAGCAAAGCAAAATATAAAATCATCATCAAGTTTTGAGAAATCCAAACACGTGTTCGTAAGTGTTCATTGTATTTTGATATTAAACAATATTGAATCCTTGCGCATTGTATTCTTAAAGATCCTAGGAATCTGGGGGCGTAATTTGAGCTCAGGTTGTTTCAGGTTGCCTCCTAGGAGCCAGAGGTTAAAGCCATCCCTGGATCCGCCTCTGCTTAACGGACCGTTGCCGAATTTGCAGTATATAATCCTTTATTCGCAATTAGTTGCGGTTTTTCTGACAACATGTTTCGTTTTCTTTCATTATCTCTTTAATCGGAGTCACATCTCATCAGATCACATCGACAATGCTCCTTCGACTACCCCTCGAACTATTATTTCGTGTGGCAGACTATCTCCAGTCATCATCTGCTATTTTTGCACTAACTGGGTTGAACAGGTATTCGAAGGCTGTGTTCATACCAATACTACTGCGTTTCAACGTCTCTCACCAGGAAAGCTCAGCTTTGATCTCGGCCAGTCAGCAGAATATACCGCAATTAGTCGCAAGCTTGCTGTCAGATCATTCTGGAAATGTGGACACGTCGGACGCACGATTTCGCACTCCAATTTATCACGCAATCCGAGCAAGCCACGGTGAGGTTGTCAAATTGTTGTTGGGACATGGTTCGGATATTGACTGGCTCAGAATAAGCAAAGACATATTGTACGTAATCTTGCTCAGCTGCGGCTCCCGCCGCACAGATTCAGGGGCATTGGACGAGGACCTGGAATACCCATCTATCATACACGAATCAATCAACTTTTGCTTTGGCATAAATACTGTCCACTTAACTGTGTACACAGTACCTAGCTGGTGATACCAACAGCATTAATTTGATCAGATCGCCGATCCTACAACAAACGCAAACCAGAGCAAATCAAGCTTAGAAAATTCAATATCAAACTGCGCTTATCCTCTCCCGTTGATAATATCAACCGCCTCCTAGGAGAGGACGATAGAACAAATTAATCCAATTTAAACGACTCTTTATATAGAGATATGACACTCAAGGTACGCTTTCCTACCGTTCGACTAGAAGAAATGCAACATGATCAGTAGATATAAATATGATACCTTCTTTCACCAACTATTTGTGCAAACACATCACTTCCCTCAAAGCGTCATGAATATGATTGTATTCTAACGGCAGCAACAATTAGGGAGGTGGGGAACTCCTGTGTACAACGCGCTTGATTTTACATTCGAAGTAATCATTCCTATAGAATGATCGGACAAAGGCGCAGAAGGCACAACTTCCGTTGGTAGACCGAAATGAAGGGTTGGAATACCCACGCACGGGGGCTCGTTCTCATCAGCAAGATTGATCACATGAGGTGGAATCTCAACAAACTTCCCGGGTTCTGGGAAACGAATAGCCACCATCTCTCTAGTTTTGCAGCCGTTGATATTGGCGATAAACATGGGCGGGAACAAGGCTTCAGGCTTCTCAAGCACCACAGGCTGGTCGTTGCCAATTACAGTAATCGGCGCACAGTTCATGTACATTTCTCGATTGCCGATACGATTGAACCATGTCCAAGCCAATGTATATTTTCCAGGTTCAATCCCTTCAGGTATCCTGAAGGGAAGATGGAGGGAATTGCCGGAATCGGCGCCCCCAACAAGCTGTCCGGCTACATTTGCGGGGCACCCTCCCTCGAACGACTTAATAACTTTCCACTCAGAATCCTTTGTCGGAACACGATCCTTGGTAAGACTGATTTGGCACGAGCCGCCTCCATGGGTTATGCTTCCTTTGAGTTTCAGTACCTGATCGTCCCCGATGCGGTAGGTTGCTTCTCCGGAGGTTTCAAATGCATTTGGACGTAGCTTACAGGGGAAGTCACTTCCATCTGCAGCAAGAGGCGAGTTGTTGAGAGTATCTTTCCCGTAGGGTTCTGGCTCCATTACTAGCAAATGGGCATTGGCCCAAAGAACAACCACCCCGAGTGTGAGATAGTGTTTAATGATCATGGGGGAATATGAAGACGCTGGGAGCTTCGAGCAAAGATTTTCCCAGTTTTGTGAGAGTGAAAGCACTGGAGGTAGAACCTTACCTCGATTATATAGGATCTCACTGTAATCCAGTGGATGTCGGAGCGGGACATTCTCCATCAAAGAGAAAAACTTTTCAAGCCATCATTTGTCTAATTCTGAAGGTCAATCAATATTGAGATCATGTACAGTATTCAACTATTCGAACTACATGCGTATTAACCTGTTGACTTCTTTGGTTCAACGCCGGGTAAGTTGATGAAACGGTGAACAAAAAGCTGTTAATACAGATTGCATGAAAGGCTAGCTGAGACACGTTGAGCAAAGTTTATCAACGCATGCCCGAATGAAATCTCGAAATATTGAGCTTTATGAAAGAAACTATAATCTATGGCAAATATCGATCTTTAAACGGTGTTCTTCTCAACCGTCTAGCTACAGAAGATACGCCTGTAGAAAGTATGGTGGCATCCTCACGATCCAGTTGCAAGTTATTTCCAAATTTAAGCACATAAGAACCTTCTGTGAATGTCCTCTTGATTACATCCACCGTGGATTTGCTATCATAATGAACGTCAATTTCAAGTCAAAGACCGTTTCCACACCCTCTATTGATCAAAAGACACGGAGAAGAAGAAACACGCTCTTCAGGAAAGCTACTGAGTACTGCTCAGAATGCTTTGCAGATATCCAAATGATTATTCGATTGAAGAAAACCGGAGAAGTTTACATTCTGACATCGAAGTCGAAAGGCTGGCCACTTTCCGAGACCCAATTGGTATGAATACTATATTCACTCTTCTTACAGACTTATTGCATTCTCACTAATAATATCACAGGAAAGCTATTACCCAATGCCCAAGGTGCAATTCATCAACACGGAGCCGTGAATGTGGCAGAACATTCTCAATTTCTGATCTTTGCCTTGTTTTTGTACAACCTTTTTGCTCAAACATGGGATCTCTGTCTAGCTTCTTCTTTCCCATTGAGCATACCTAACTGCTTGATTGTTCCAAGCCTCTGCAATTTTTCGACTGGCCAAACTGCGGCCCATCATTTTTATAATTTCGGTCCTTGTGACCCAGCTGCAACCACCTGGACACAGCGCGTGATCTGTGGGCTCTATCTCCGTCCACTCGATTTTGAGATAAGTCCTTGGTGCTCGTTGGTGGAAATTCTCGGTTAAATCTCCCATAGAAACAACACCGACAATGTTTTTGATGTTCTTCTATCCATACTTGCGGCGCTTAAATTCGCGTGAATCGAGAACCTTTATGTTGGGGATTCGACTTTGAGGGTCTGAAACATCTTGCAGCGCCGTAACATGAATGCACCACGTAGGATGTACAACGTACGTACACATATCGATTGGACCGAGGCGTACAATGAGCACGATAGCTCTTCCGACAAGAAACCATGCATCGGTTCGTCGATATTCATCCCTTGAACATACACAGGCCAGACGAGTGAGAAGCCTGTCGTCGCTCTCTCGCCGTTCCCATGTTCTCTGAGGACTAGACTCTGTTGAAAATCGGTGTGCGATCTCAATATGTTGGTTATCCGGATCGATGTCTCCGACGCGCTGTGTAGGATTACCTGGGACTGGTTCGGAAGGCTCCGTTTGACTGTCCAGGAGCTCAGACGTATGTAAATGGGAAAGGTAATGTTCCGTTTCCAGACCCACGTCTCGAGGATCCGCACCACACTGCACCAGAATCGGGCAGAATTCCTTTGAGGTGTTGAAAGCATGTAGAAGTGCTTGATTAAGCTGTGGTTGGCTTGCCGAACGTCCTAGTTGCCGCAGTAAATCATGTTTTTTCCGGCTCTTCCCGATCATGATGTACTCTAGCGCAGATTGACCAAAGGAGTTACGGATGGCAATATCGGCGCCGCAGTCCATCAAATATAAAATGATTTCCTCATCGCCTTGATAGCACGCGTCCATGAGAGGCGTGGAGAAGCGATCTCTGCGATTGATATCAGCCCCGACACGGACGAGGGCTTGTACAATGGGCAAGGAAGCCTTTAATATTGCATAAGACAGTGCAGTATTGTCACACTCATCACGCTGATCTATGTAAATCAATTCTTTTGATTCTTTCATGTTCTGAAGAACTTTGCAGATGGTTTCAACAGTTTTCGTATCCTGCTTCATAACAGCGATGTGCAAGGGGGTCATTCTCATGCTATTTGTGTGGAAAATTGCGCATGGGCAGCTTCTCAAGTAATGATCGATCGCTTCATGGTGGTCACGAGTGAGCCAACTTTGCAGTATTGGCCAATTGCATTCTGCACAGTCACGAACAGTCACTCGGAACACATCTTCGGGTAACAGATTTCTTGCGTGGACTGCCATGAGCGTATCGATATCTCGAAGTATTGGCGGTTCACTGGAGATGGCACGCTGGATTATGCATTGTAGCCACCTTTTCGGCCATGGATAGCGCATGAACAGTTTTGTGAGAGTCTCAAGGTTCTCAAGGCTTGGTCCGACTTCGTGCTTGAGGAAATCCGTAGATGCCAAGAAAAAATCCCATCGACAGAATACGAAAGAGATAACATCTTTCACGGGGAGATAGTCTAAGATATCGTACAATTGTTCGGCAGGAAGCGACAAGATGTGTGCTCTTGAAGAGTCTTTGGCCCTGCCTTGCGCTGTACTGCTACCACATTCACTCGGCGAGAACATGGCACCCTCACCGTCTTTGTGAATGGAAGAGACGGTTGATAAATCCATAAACTTCAGAAAGAATTATGAAAGATCTTCGGGGGAGCTGAATGTTATAAATATTATGAGCCAGCAAAAGCCCAAATATTGTTGATCGTCCGCAGAGTAGGGAGGCATTCCTGGCAGCTAAAACCGGAAATTTACCTCAGATATCTATCTAACATGGACTCAACTTGACGCAAATAATTAACCCCAATCTTGAAGGTAAACAAATGGTTTCCTTTCCTTTTTCATCTAGCTCATGGCTCTTCAATCGACAGCTGGCGATAGCGGTACGTAAGATGAGGTCTTTTTTAAAAAAAGTAAAATATGTTGAAGCAAAAAATGTATCGATCAATGGCTGATCACTACTTTGATGTTAAGTCGTAGTGCTGAAAGTTAACTTACACAGCATCACAAATATACGGGTGATGTAACAATCTATTTCATGTACGGCCATGAGAGAATATTTTTCCTCGAAATGCTCAGGGTGTGCTCAGGGTGTGCTCGGGGTGTGCTCGGGGTGTGCTCGGGGTGTGCTCGGGGTGTGCTGAGGGTGTGCTGAGGGTGTGCTGAGGGTGTGCTGAGGGTGTGCTGAGGGTGTGCTGAGGGTGTGCTGAGGGTGTGCTGAGGGTGTGTCTGGGGTGTGTCTGGGGTGTGTCTGGGGTGTGTCTGGGGTGTGCTCATGGTATGAATTGTCTTAAGGCGTGAAGTTTTTCGTGCGCAATGTTGTTGCTAAAATCCCCGAGAACACCCGGAGCCATGAAGGGTGTGAAGCTTTGAGCCACGCCGTTCTGGTCGACAATTATAACATAACTAGTCAATGCGGAGCCTCGTAATGGCAATCAATACCGATGTTCATATGACATTCAGTTGATGCTGCTACAATTTGAATCAAATTTGGAACCCTGCATTAGGTTTTTCTAACACAAAATAGGTTTGACTCATCTGTGTTCTTTACACGGCTTGCGGTGGAAAGTTACGCAACTAATAACTCTGGACCTGGTATTCAAAAGACACTGCTATGAAATATTTGCTCTCTCTTCAGACTCCGAAATGTAGTTCCAACAATTACCTTCTCTCAACGTGTCAAGTACCTCCAAGAAAGTACACCGTACCTTCGAAGTGAACATATACGATCGATTCCAAAGAGCACATGCCGAATGGGAGCGGGAAGCCAGCACAGTGGAGATCAACCACCAATTTGAGAGTCATAAAGGTAGTTCTCAGGATTGCAAGAAGTGTGAAGTACCGGATGAACCGCTGAGAAAAGACTACTTTCCTGAAGAGCCTCGCAGTAGCCTATTGAGTGAAGTTCTGGCCTCCGTGATTGGCGTGGGAAACTTGGATGGAGTAGGTGGTGATTCAAATGCTCGCCGTCTCAAGAAGATTCGGCGCAGCTAGTGCTATAATTTGCCGGTCATATTATTGCTTTGATTTTATTACTACAAGTCGTTATTAAATATCTTGGCTACGAGTGGTCATTGTGGACTTTTCTCAAAATCAAGAAGTATGCGATCAAATATCAGCATGCTGTTCACGTGTGGCCTCGCTTTGCAAGACATATTTAACCAAGAAACGTCTAATATTTATGGGAGGGGCAGGCCCAGAGCTGGTAGGGGTAAGCAGGAGACAATTCCATGCACTCTTTGCGCGTGGTTCAGGAGTCCTGATTTGGACAACAGCTTTTCCCCGCAAATGTTGCACTCACAATGCATGTCATTTGGGAACGGCTTGATATGCTGGTTGACGAAGTGTCGGCTGAGGGACCCAGGGTTCTTGTACGTTTGCAGCCGTTTGCTTTCTGGCAGTTTAGCCTTACCAAGACATATAAAGCATATCGTTGGTCTCTCTTCTCGAGATTTGACGCAAACAGAAGCAATGGCTTGAGAAAACCTATCGTCACTCTCATCTGAAGGGGTAGACTTTTGTCTCTTAGGCAGGGGAGAAGCAGGTGGCGTATCAACAGCATCGACAGAGCGTTTTTGCGACGCACCAGGCCGCGAGGGAGCACCCTCTTCCGCATCACAGACTGCAATCACTGCATTGATTGCAGCGATGCGGCGTTCGTATTCTTTCGTGACCGTTGTACCCGGCATAGTCAGGATACTGTCAATGAGCGTCATATGCTGCGGTGTCATGTAGCCAGTTCGCTGCAATGCACCCATGACTTCTTCGTCGACAACCTTTCCAGAAAGTTGCCGCTCGCTGTCGATTACTGGCTGCTCATTCTTGTACCGCTCCAGGTTCTCACGAATCAAGCGGTGCTTTTGCCGCCTCTTCTCGTTTCGTAGTTGCTTCACTGCGCGGTCATACTGCTCGTCTGCATGATCGAATTTTTGACGTAACTTTTTCAAGCTTTTCTCCTGAGCCTTCCTCCGCTTGCGGGCGGTTTTGAAAAGAGTCGCACTCTGTGGATCATCACCGAACTCTCCTTGAAATGCGGCCTCTGCATCTTCATAGGTGCGCATCTTAACGTCACGAATCCGCTTTCTCGCCTGTTTCGTGTCTTCCAGGGCACGCACGCGGGGGATATCGTTGATACAGCTTGAATCCCCAAGCCGGTAGGGCCTGCGAGGGTCGATGGACCGACTCATCGAGCAGGCAAACCGCATGAGTTGTTTCTCAGCGGGCAAGCCCCGGACAATGGCCTGCGCATCTACGTGGATGCCCACACTGTAGTGCCGCACAAAAGTATCAATGCTTGCGTGCTGCAGCATGACGTTCTGCAGTTCATTCGATACATCCGCTGATTGAGAGGACGGCATTAGCCCAAAATTCTCTTAATGCACTCTTAATGCAGGGTCACTCACGACTATCGTTGAAAGCTTTTGCTGCGCCGTATCGGAGGCAATATGGCTTCGCGACTTCCGCAAAGCCAGTAATCTCACCACCTCTTTTCATTCTGTAGCCCAGCCATCCCCGGGTAAGTGGCTTTTCTGGTGCGAATCGAATCCCATCCGCTTCCCGCAAAGCTTGGCAAAACACATGCTGATCCATGATTTCGTCTTTCAGCTTTAATTCCTGTTCACCGAGACCATGTAGGACCCGAAGACGGTACAATTTCTCAGGGCAGTCCAGCACAGGGCTATCGGTGGACAGACTTTTGAATGCGCCAATTCTAAACAGAATACCCAGCAGAAAGACATGAGGACTGAGGACCAACGTGGGATCAAAGATAATTTCCGGAATGGGAAACGCCTCCCTGGATGAAAAATGGTAAGAAAAAGGACGTCGAGACGCATGTAACTGAACTGAGCAGGGAAAACGTAAGGAATAGCGTAGTGATTAGATGTCACTTACGACTGCTTTTCACCAAGAAACCCTTTTGTGAATTCCGGTCTGAGGTAGATAAAAAGCCGAGGACGTCCTCCGTTTGGATCCCGAATCAATGTCAACTTAAGATCCCGAAAGCGGAGTTTCAGTAGCGCCCCCGGACGATTACCGGTGATAGCGGCCAGCTGACAGAAAAGGAGGAGCTGTATCCGATACCAGCCACAAGGAAAAGTCATCTCTGTCGTAGACAGGATCACTCGGGCAAACTCAGCTACATCCTCGACAAACATGGTCGCTTTTGGGCGTTTTTTGAGGGACAATTTCTTCTCCGTCGCAACTACCGCGAGCACCTAGGGAACGTTAGTCGCATGAAATTGCCGATGTTCATAATCATTGGGATCTCACATCACGAATCTTAACTTGGATATCTTTGCTGAGGCCATGTCCAACCGCGGCCTTGTAGATCAGATGCCACCACTTCCAAAATGCGTCGAGCGAGCTTTTGGTTTTCAACCCCGGGGTCCGACGTCCATCCTTACCACGTCGCTGATCACAACGCCAGGAAAAGAGAGCCTTAAGGAAGCGGACAGTCTCCTCTGTATCGGAGATCCAGGTTAGACATTTCACTGGATCGCGCTTTGCGCCCTCACAGAACCTAGAACAATCAGTGACCTAATTACTGTATGTGGGAATGCTGTAAAGATGCCTCACCTATCCCAGAAATCTTGCGTCTCATCCAATCTCTCTTGAGTCTTCGGGCTATACCGTTTCTGTCGGAGCTGGGAGACATCAAGTGCCTCGGCCTCTTGGAGGTAGTATTCTGGTGAAAGCTGCTCCTCTTCGTCTTCCAGTGCCAGTTCATCTTCGAGTTCATCGTCGGATTCACTGTCAGAGTCGCTGCTGCCATCGAAGACGCTAGGGGCGGTGGAGGAATCAGAGTCGGACGCGCTGTCCGAGAAAATCTCGGGCAGGTCTGAGCTAGTATCGCTCTCATCGTCGGACAGAATAAGACAAAGAGGAGAAGGCATGGTAGCGGAACGCAGTGTGAGATCGAAGAGGGCCAGGAGGAGCAAGGACGAGTCGTCGAAGCACGAGAGAATGATCGAGGCAATGATCAAGGTTGATACGAGTTCACCTGGAGCAAATCATCCGTTGGAAATCCAGACCAGGGGCTGGGGGAGTTGCTGAAGAGCAAGGGAGAACTGTCGGTCGGGGGCCATGGTGGTTGATATTTATGGAAACTTGGGGAAGCAAAACCGCTCAACAGAGGAGCCAAAATGGATCGATCCCCTGTGCCAAAAAAATGGCAGAGGGAGGATGGGTCGCTGTGGCGGCTTGTGGCACGAAGAGACATCGGTCGATCAATGGGGCCAGGCACCAGGCACCCCGACGCGAACCACGGGTGGCAGTAAAAAGGTTGGCCGTGGGCTTTGGCACCCGTGACGCCAAGGCCGCCCACGGTGAGCGAGCGGCCTAAAACGGCGTCAAAAGCGGCCGTTTCTGGCCTCCCTCTCACCGTGTCATGCATATTAGTAGTAAAAGATATTTGTATACGTACTTAATATCTAATTATACTAGAGCTTACACAAATCGTAATAGCTATAGCTTACACCGCTAAGCTAACCTTTAAAGAGAAACTGTTTTTTATAGGGGACCTCCGTACTCTATACTCTCGCAAAGAGGATATAATTTACCTTCCTAATAAACAGCTAATCGAGGGTTTTTATCTTATATAAGGCTACTAACTTAAGATTAAAAAGTAAGTTATTATAATTCTGTAATAGTATAGCTTTTAATACAGCCCGTAACAGCCTTACGAAAGGTAAGAGAAGCGCCTATATTTATAAATATATTTAATATAAGCAAGGTCTCGCCCTTTAAGTTCTTAAATTACAGCTACATTTTTGCTATAAGTATATAGAATAGTTTTAGAAACGCTAATAGCCGGATTATTGCACTGCCTACCTCTAATTATAGTAAACTTAACACTGTAAAGTTATTAAGTACTGCTATACAGTAATCCGCCTAGCTTACTACTCTTTCTATTTTTAGAACCTCTATAATCCTACCGAAGAATAGTTATAATACTAGACGCGTAATAGTAATTTATAGTAATATATTAAAACTAAGTATATACCGGAAATTTCGTAGCCGATAACAACGTCGGTTTATAGGTATTCTTAAATATTTAAGAACGAACGTAAACTTCGCTATTACTTATATAACGTATATAGGATTAATAATACTATCTAGCGAAATCCAAAGCTACTAAGAAAAAGGAAACGAACTAGTAAGATTAAACTATATATTCTTTTACAGAAATCAGGAGCAGAGTACTCTAAGAAAGTACGGCTATCTACCTCTATATTAAGAATATAAGTACTAGCCTTCAACAAATATATTCGTTCTAA